CTCGTTTTTGTTTTTTTTTTTTTTTTGAGACAGGGTTTTGTCTGTCACCCAGGCTGGAGCACAATGGCATGAACACAGCTCAGTGATCCGCCCACGTTGGCCTCCAAAAGCGCTGGGATTACAGGCGTGAGCCACTGTGCCCAGACCCACAGTATATTTTAAATTTCTCAGTTTTAATTTCTAAGAGGGGCCAGGCATGGTGGCTCACACCTGTAATCCCAGCCCTTTGGGAGGCCAAGGTGGGAGGATCACTTGAGCCTAGGAGTAAAGACCAGCCTGGGCAATATAGTGAGAACCTGTCTCTATGAAAAATACAAAAAAATTAGCTGGGCATGGGGGTGCGCACTTGTAGTTCCAACAACTCAGGAGGCTGAAGTCGGGGGATTGCTTGAGCCTGGAAGACGGAAGTGGTGGTGAGATGTGATGATACCACTGCACTCCAGTCTGAGCAACACAGCTAGGCCCTTTCTTGAAAAAATAAAGTAAAATAAAAATAAAATAATCCCTAAGAGGGCAAATATTGATAGATAAAATCCACATAAACAAAAGCTCTCCAGGATCCTAGTGTTAGGGAAGAGCTGCTGTCTATCCACCATCACTGAACTCTCCACCAAGGCCCTGGCTGGAGGACCGACCAACAGCTCTGAGAGAGGGACCTGAGGTCAAATGCTGCCTCACCATGCAGGTGCCACACTGTCGCTGGTCCACAAATCACTATTTGTTTACAATTACCAAAGTACAGAAATTGAAACTCAACCTTTAGAAACACTAAAAGCAATTGTACACTGCCACAACAACCAGCACATGCTCCAGGGGCTTGTATGGTGTGTGGCCTTGGCTTTTTGTCATCTCATTTTTTAGTTATTCATTTTTATAACAGCTTATGGAAGTGTTGGCCTGGAACAGTTTGGAAATGTTTAAAGTGGTCCTTCACCACAAATACAATGAGAAGCATTTAACTGGACAAAGTCACACTCTGTCACCCAGGCTAGAGTGCAGTGGCGCAATCTAGGCTCACTACAATCTCTGCCTCCTGGGTTCAAGCAATTCACCTGCTTCAGCCTCCTGAGTAGCTGGGATTATAGGCACCCGCCACCACACCACCATGCCTGGCCAATTTTTGTATTTTTAGTAGAGATAGGGTTTCACCATGTTGGCTACACTGGTCTCGAACTCCAGAACTCAGGTGATCCGCCCACGTTGGCCTCCAAAGTCTGGTTACAGGCTTGAGCCATTAACTCTATGTTTTTTAATTAAATGGCAACAGGGATGAAACCTAAAGCAAATTATGATGAGTGGAAACCATTTCTCCCTCAAGAAGACTTCCCCTATGTATGCTGCTTCTAATATAAATATCAACCGAATCGCCCTTACAGTGGAAATCGGCAATGGTAAAGAAAACCATACGTACCCTCTTCAGTGAAGAATTTTTCCACAGGTCCCAAGAACTGATTGATTTCATTAAGTTCATCTTGGCTAACTTCCGGAAATGGGAAAACTTCTTTCTAAAAATAGTAAATATTTTCTAAAAAATTTAATTTTTATTACACTGCCATCATGGAAGTATCAGTTAAAGGGAAGGAAAAACATGTGCTCTACTCCACCCTGGCTAGCGGGACGTGACGTACTGAAGGAACTGGAAAGCAAACCTCACAAGGTTCTCGAGATACAGGAACTATGTGGAGGCTCCACCACCCACATCCATCTCCCTCCCCTGTTCAAACAGGTTCTTCCCGATTTTCATCAGCTTTCCTTCTCAGTACAAGGGATGATAATGGTCCCATGAAACATGCAGCCCAAGACTAACGTTTAGAAGCCTGGGGGTCTGGTCCTTGATTTCAGGCTTACTAATTATGTGGCCTTCACCAAATCCCTTCAGCTCTCCAAACTACCTCTTTCTTACCCATAACATGCAGGTAATATTTACTCAAGGCCCTTGTGAGAATTGTGGAAGATAGTGGACGTGGAAGCTCCTTACTGAAATGGACAATTCTACATCAATTATTGTGTGAGCTCAAAGATGTTACGCTGAGAAGAGCATGTCGTGCTTACCAAGTCTCATCGATCCCTATAGCCTCTGTCTCTCCTGCTCATGGACATCTGCTCCCTGTACCGAGCCCCTCTGGACTTTTGGGCTCTGGTACCCCTTCAGTTGCCAGCATGACACGAACTGTGGATGTGGGCTTCAGGTTGCTGAGCAGCGATGTCCTGAGTCATAGCTATAGGCCCAAGTAACACCTGTCCTCATGGCGCCTCTCACCAAGTGTCTCTAGAGAAGTCTTTGGGAGACCTCAACCTTCTCCTCAGACCTTGTACAGCCAATCAGCCAACAGATTTCTCTACTCTATCAATATGCTCCCACTGCTTTCTCCTCTCTGGGCCCAGGACCACAGGCTTATACGTGAGTCCCTAACTAAAAGTGACAGCCAACTTAAAAGAATCCCTGCCTCTGTCCATTCCAAAACCACCATGAAGGTGGTATCGAAAAAAACAAGCTGGGAGGCCGGTCACGGTGGCTCACACCTGTAATCCCAGCACTTTGGGAGGCCAAGGTGGGCGGATCACGAGGTCAGGAGTTCGAGACTAGCCTCACCAACATGGTGAAACTCCATTTCTACTAAATATACAAAAATTACCCAGGCGTGGTGGCGCACGCCTGAAATCCCAGCTACTCAGGAGGCTGAGGCAGGAGAATCGTTTGAACCCGGGAGGTGGAGGTTGCAGTAAGCTGAGAATGCACCATTGCACTCCAGCCTGGGTGACAGAGCAAGACTCTGTCTCAAAATAAAAAAAAAAAAATTAAAAAACAAGCTTGGCTGGGCACAGTGGCTACTGCCTGTAATCCTAGTCCTTTGGGAAGCTGAGGCAGGGGGATTGCTTAAAGCCCAGGAGTTCAAAACCAGCCTGGGCAAGGCTACACACACCTATAGTCCCAGCTACTCAGGAGGCTGAGGTGGGAGGATCCCCTGAGCCTGGGGAGGTTGAGGCTCCAGTGAGCTGTGATTACACCACTGCACTCCAGCTTGGGTGACAGAGTAAGACTCTGTCTCAAGAAAAAAAAAAAGGAAAAAAACAAGTTGATGGCCCCATCACTCTGCAGCCTTTTAGATCAAAGCTCAGTCTCCTTCACTGAACACAGAGGCTCACTGACACTTGGGTCTTGTGCATGGGCTGTGTTAGAGATCATTCTGGTACCAGTGGGCAGGCCAGATAAGACAGCCTGGCAACTAGTTGGCCTTTAGGTACAACCACAGAAAACCTGTCACATAGGAGAGACTGCAGGGGCACGGGAGAAAGATTCTGATGTTATCAAATCAGGTCAGTGCCTTAGGGGAGGAGAGTTCAATTGCAATAAACAGTTTGTAAATTATCTTAAAAAGTGGAATCTGTTATTCAAAGAAATCTAGTGCAGAAACCAAATATGTAAAACAGACAGAAGTCAAGCAGTTCTGAGACTGCTGATATGGAAAACAGTCACCTAAATCCCACCCACTCAACTTCCCACCCATCCCTGCAGCAGTTCCAGGGGCACTCCATGAATAGCTTGGGTCCGGCTGAGGGCAGGGTGACAACCACTGGCCTACATAATCTGAAAGATCTTTTCCAGTTCTGAGATTCTAAGCATCATGTCCCATGTTTCTGCTCTAATCCCAGTAAGGCTGTGAGAGATGACATTGGCCTGATCCGAAGTAGTAGCAGAAGGGTCTAAAAGTGGTCAGACTCTGAAGAACCTCAAAGTAGAGAAAACCAGATCTTCTGTGGAATTAGACGTGAACTAGGAGAATAAGAGTACAAGGTGACGCCAGGTGTTCTGTCTGAACAGGTGGAACAACAGAGCCACCATTATCTATGATAAAAGAAGGCTGGTGGAAGGACCAGGATTGGGTGGGAACCAGGAACTCAGTTTTGGATCTATTAATCTCAAACGCCTGTTAAACCTCTTAGCAGAGCTTTTGAGTACAAAGGTAGATTTAAAAAAGGACCTTGGCTGGGTGTGGCAGGGCGTGCCTAGTCCCAGCTACTGGGGATGCTGAGGTGGGAGGATCTCTTGAGCCTAGGAGTTCAAGGTTGCAGTGAGCTATGATGGTACCACTGCACTCCAGCCCGGGTGACAGAGGAAGGCCCCAACTCTGAAAAAGCAAAAGGAATCTGGAGCTCAGGGAGAAATCTGAACTGGAGAAAGAAATTTGAGGCATCAGGATATTGATGATATTTAAAGCCAGAACACTAAATAAGGTCACCCAGGAGATGGTTGTAGATGAAAAGAGACATCCACAGACCCAGCCTTAGTAAATTCCAACTTGGCTAGCTGGAAACACTGGTCATTGTTTAGCAGTAAAGGAGCTAAAAAAGAACTAGCAATTGACACAGAGAAGTATTAGTCAGTGAAGTATTTAGAACATTCAGAGAACGATGAGAATAGTGATTCAGAAACTAGAGAAGAAAGTGTGTCAACAGGGTAGAAGAATGAACAGCGTCAGATGCCAATGATGGGCCAAGTAGGATGAGGTCTGAGAACAGATCACACGATTTGACAACAGAGAGGTCACTACTGACTTTCATGGCCATTAGGGACAAACGTCTGAATGGTAAGGGCTCAAAATCCAGTAGAGAGAACAGTTAATGATTCCGAGAAAGGAAAGAATTACCCTTGAGTAGGTGAGAAGGCCTGGGGTCTAATGAGAGGTTGGTTTTGCCAGAAGCAGACAGTTCAGTCATAGTAACAGAATGTAGATAATATGGGCACATGCAGGGGGAGGGGGTAACTATGCCTGTGAAGTTCTCATTTGACTGCATGGATTTTCTCAGTGGAATGGGAAGCAAAGCTGACAGCTGAGAGTAAGGGCAGGGCAGGTGGTGCCAAAGGTTTAAGATGGAAACAGATCTGAAGGATTTGTGTTCTTTCTTCACCATGCTGCTGGAAAGCAGGAGGTCCCAGGATAGAGCACCACACTGCCCCAGGTCCTGGGTAAAAGGGTTTCCCATATGTCAAAGACATAGCTCTGCACCTTCTAGCCGGGCAAACTGCTTTTAGTCTGTCTTAGCTTCTGCATCAATAAGGTTGCTTGCTATAAAGGGATCAGCCTGACAACCTCAGAGGAATGTTCCAAAGAGAAGCCAGGGAATAACTTCCGTGATAGAGGATCAGCCAACATTCAGCCAAGCTCAAAGCAGGGCACCTCGAGGAAATAGCAAGTATACTGTTGCTTTCCTTAGAAGATAAAATAAAACACAAAGGAAAAAGCAAGAAATGTGTTTATTCCTATTTTGTAGATGAAGGCACTGAGGCACAGGGAGGTGAAACCATCAGCTCCAAGGTCACAAGACTAGTAAGTGTTGAAGCCAGTTCTCTCTTCTGCTACACAGTACTCTACAGTTTAAGACGACTCTCCATGCACCATTTATCTCACTGGGGCTCTACAACACCTCTGTGAAGGAGACACAACACTATTTCCATTTTAAGGCTGAAAGAACTGAGTCTCGGCCGGGAGTGGTGGCTCACGCCTGTAATCCTAGTATTTTGGAAAGCCAAGGCGGGCGGATCACCTGAGATCAGGAGTTCGAGACCAGCTTTGCCAACATGGTGAAACTCCATCTCTGCTAAAAATACAAAAAAAACCCAAACAAACAAACAAACAAAAAACCGGGCATGGTGGCGGGCGCCTGTAATCCCAGCTACTCCGGAGGCTGAGGCAGGAGAATCGCTTGAACCCAGGAGGCGGAGGTTGTAGTGAGCACTCCAGCCTGGGCGACAAGAGCGAGACTCTGTCTCAAAAAAAAGAACTGAGTTTCAAAGTCAAGGAGCCAAGACCAAACCCAAGTCTTCCAACTCTAAGAGGACAATGAGTGTTTTATAACCAAACTGTTACTACTGGCAGGGTTGTGCGACGCCTGGGAAGCATCTTGGAGCCAGATTTCTGAGGAACCTCAATGGCTGGGAGAGGCGCTACGGCTCAACTGGGGAAGGAAGCCCCAGGGCGCTGGCAGGTGACTGAGGAGGGACACGGTCTAAACTGTTTAGGAATAAGAGAGGAAGCCCCGCACATTTCGAGACCAGACCAGCTGAGATGAAGGCTGCTTTGTAAATTACCTAGCCTAGAGTTTTCCAAATTCTGACAAAATTTACACTTCCAAGGGTCCCCCGTCTAGGAAATGTCCCACCCTTTCTCCGGGAAGGTTTTCCTGGAACTCAGGAATCCAGAGTGTTAACACGCCTCGCCCGCAGGGTGTGTCTCTCTGGCAGGTTTGGGGAATCCGACAAAGCTGAACACCAATCTCGCAGCTGAGCATGAAAAGCGGGAGCCAGACAGCAAGGATTCGCCCAGGGTTCGCGTTACCTTCTTGATTTTGCCCAGGAAAAGTTCTTTGGCGAAAGCTCGTATAGGCGGGCTGGTGCGCAGTAGCCGCCGGTTCGCGGTAGAGACCACCAGACCCCGGCAGGCACGAGCCGCAGCCGTGGTACGCAGGAAGAGCCTGCAGCAGCTCATGCCGCCCGCTGTTCCCCGGCCTCAGGCTCCACCTCTTACTTGGCGCAGCAGGGACACACACATGGTCCGCAACGTCGGATGACGTTACTGGCCCGCGACGCTGTGCAGCACTCACTGCGCTTGCGCGGTCTCCCGCAACAGGGGATGGAGACGCCAGAAGGGCGTGACGGCTGCCACCTTCCGCGGCCAAGGCCGTAGTCACGTGCACCTGGCTGGTCCGCGCTGACTGATGACGTCACGTGCCCACGCTTCCCGCGGGTCCCACTGCGCTTGCGCGGCCAGAGTTGCTGGGCGGAAAAAATTGGAGGGTCGGGGCCGCGGGCATGTTGGCGGGTATGAGGTCCGGCCGTCGTGACGGCGGTAAGGGACCTGTTTTTCACATACCAGCAGTTGTTTCCATAAATGCTAGCCATGGGAAATCTCCCTGTGTACAGAAACCTAAAGGCCGGCCCAGCTGCTTCCCCTTGCCTCTTTTGTCACTTGCGGCCGCGAGGCTGTGGTAAAACTTGAGTAAAGCAAAAGAATGGGGGAAATGCGCGGTATTGGGGTCTCTGCAGGGGCACGGTAAGGATAAGGTTCCATTTTTAACTAGATGGTGGATTCCTGAGATACTGTTTTGTACCTAGTTGACATGTTACAAATATTTTTTGGAAGAGGAAAAGAAAATGGGTGTTCAGTCACAGAGCGGTCTGGATAAAACTGAGTCACGGCCGGGCGCGGTGGCTCACGCCTGTAATCCCGGCACTTTGGGAGGCCGAGGCGGGCGGATCACAGGGTCAGGAGATCGAGACCACGGTGAAACCCCGTCTCTACTAAAAATACAAAAAAATAGCCGGGCGCGGTGGCGGGCGCCTGTAGTCCCAGTTACTCGGGAGACTGAGGCAGGAGAATGGCGTGAACCCGGGAGGCGGAGCTTGCAGTGAGCCGAGATCGCGCCACTGCGCTCCAGCCTTGGGGACAGAGCGAGACTCCGTCTCAAAAAAAAAAAAAAAACCAAAAACTGAGTCACCTCTGTCTTGGCAAACACTGAAAAGGCAGGTGGAGGAAGAGAAACTACAGAGGGAGCTGAGAAGAGATGGGAACTATTGGATGGGATGGGACAGGCCAGGCTGTAGCCGCCCAAGGCGTTCACTTGCCCGCTGACTAGACAGCTGATTTATCAAGACAGGGGAATGGCAATAGAGAAAGAGTAATTCACGCAGAGCCAGCTGTGCTGGAGAGGGAGTTTTAATAGCCAAATCAGTCTCCCCGAAAACACGGATCGGAATTTTTGAGGATAATTTGGCGAGTAGGAACTCGGGAAGTGGAGGGTGCTGATTGGTCGGGTTGGCGATGGAATGATAGGGGGTCGAAGTGAGTTTTTCTTGCTGTCTTCTATTCCTGGGTGGGATTGCAGAAATCGTTGAGCCAGATTACCAGTCTAGGTGGTGTTAGGTTTTGCAACAGTGATGTTATTCCCAGGAACAATTTGGGGGACGTTCAGACTCTTGCAACCAAAGGCTGCTTGGCCTCTAAACTGTAATTTCTAATCTTATAGCTAATTTGTTACTCCTCCAAAGGCCGACTGGTCCCAGGCAAGAAGAAGTTTTTTTGTTTGTTTGTTTGTTTTCTGGGAAAGGGCTATTTTGTTTTGAAGTTAAACTATAAACTTATTCCTTCCCAAGGTTAGTTCAGCCTACGCCCAGGAATGAACAAGGACATCTTGGAGGTTAGAAGCAAGATGGAGTTGGTTAGGTCAGATCTCTTTCACTGTCTCAAGTTATAATTTTGCAGTGGCGGTTTCAAGGCCAGGCCATAGGAGCCCATGTAGGAGGCAGGGCATGCCGGGCACCTCACAGCCCAGCGGTGCACATGGGCCCTATACAGATCTTCAGCCTGCTCCTCTAGGAAGAATGCCGCTCTGCTTTTTCACCCAGACCGGTCATCTGGCTCAAGCAGTTTTGCAATCCCACCTAGGAACAGAAGACAGGAAGAAAAACTCACTTCGACCCCCTGTCATTCCATCTCCAACCCGACCAGTCAGCACTCCCCACTTCGCATGCTCCTACTCGCCAAATTATCCTTAAAAACTCCGATCCCTGTTTTTGGGGAGACTTGCTTGTTCCCTGACTGTAGCATCGACCACAGTGTTGGGAAATGCCTCCAGCTTCCATTGTGTGAACTCCTTGAGAACAAAAGTAAATCCCTTTATCCCTTTCATCTCAGCGAGCTAAGCTCAGCACCAAAAAAGATTAAATTGCTAACACAACATCAAGAAAAAAGAGCTCAAAACTCTGCAAGGCGTAGAGTCTAAACTGCAAAATATGTGCAGGCATCTTTTCAGATTATTTTACTTTGTCTAAGGTCTCTCAGCTGGTTTATTCATCGGTGGTTGATATTTACTTGCTTGGCATTCAGCTTCACAAGAAGGTATTTGGAAACAACTGCCTTTGTAAATTATCCCCATAGGTAAAACAAAGAAAAATGTACATATATTGCAAAAACTTTCAATTTTGAGCTGCTGTATGTTTTTGCCAAACAAATGTAGTCAAATCAGTCAAGTAGTCTGTTAATGTGTCAAATCTTCTTTAGTGTACACAGGTCTCCCTAAATCAACCAAATGAGAAATCCAGTGGCACATATTTTACAAAATAAAAATAGAAAAATGTTAAGGCGTAATTTTTAATTGCTCCAGTAGAGTATAGCAGAAGAGTTTTCCTGTTTTACTACTATGCCAGTTTCTAAATTCAGTTTCCTCATCTGTAAATATGAGTATGATACCCTTTATCTGACAGGACTTTTAAGAGGTTTAAGTAAAATAATCTACATGAAAGCACTTAGCACAGCAAATGATAAAAATGAAAATAGTTACACTTTGATCCTTCCATCCTATATTTAAGTATTAACCTCTGAGAAATATGATGTGGTTTTAAACAGTTTCCCCTGTTCAGTATACTAAAAGAAAAGCTTCAGCGGAATTAAATTTAAAGGAGCTTAATTGGCTGGGTCGGGTGCAGTGGCTCATACCTGTAATCCCAGCACTTTGGGAGGATGAGGTAGGCAGATCATTTGAGGTCAGGAATTCGAGACCAGCCTGGCCAGCATTGTGAAACTCTGTCTTTACCAAAAATACAAAAATTGCCGGGCATGGTGGTGAGTGCCTCTAATCCCAGCCACTCGGGAGGCTGAGGCATGAGAATCACTTGAGCCCGGGAGGTGGAGGTTGCAGTGAGACGAGATTGCACCACTGCCCTCCATCCTGGGTGACAGAGCAAGACTCTGTCTCAAAAAAAAAGAGAAAAGTTTAATTGAGCAATCAATGATTCAAGTCAGGCAGCTTTCTGAGCCAGAGCAAGCTCAGAGACTCCAGCGCAGCCATGTAATGGAAGATTTCTGGACAGCAAAGGAAAGTTAGGTACAGAAAATGGAAGCGAGGTACAGAAACATCTGGATTGGTTACAGCTCTGCCATGCCTTATTTGAACATGGTTCAAACAGTTGGCTACATTTGATTGGCAAAAACTCTGTGATTGGCACAAGTGTAGGCTAGTCTGTATGCCTCCACTTGTCATAGTTCACAATGTGCAGAAAACCTATAAACTCAACTTAGAATATATAAGGAAGCAGCTTTAGGCTAAACTTGATTTAACAAGTGTTTAAAATATCCTCACAGTAGTTCTGAATGTCTCCTCACATCAGTACAACTGATTCACAACATAGGAGAAAGTGAACATTCTTTAGCCATAATATTAGCGTTAGCATAGCAGAACGCTTGACTCTGGGTATGAGGAACATTGAGTAGAAACTATTGCTTGATCCCTTACTATTAAAGCTGAGGCTGAGATTGGACTGATTATTTTATAAGCCAAAGACCACCAAAGATTGCCAGCAAACCACCAAGAGGTAGGAGAAAGGCTGTCCTGCAGATGCTGCTGCGAAGACCTGCCCCTTCCGCCTTGCACCTCCATCCTCCAGGGCCTAGAGGCCTCTGCCTGCAGCTGGGGGAAGAAGAGACTGCGAAGAACGATCCTGTCTTTTTAAAACTGACAGAAATCACGGATTCCTTCCACTCACATTCCCTTGGGAAGAACTTAATTTGGGGACAGGGGCTAGGAAAGGCAACGCCTGGGCAGAAACATGGTTTTGACAAGTGTTCTTGTCAGGACAATTTGGGAAAGCCCAGATGAGTGATTACTGAGTGACCCTCAACTCCAGTGTTTTGACACCGAAATATGCAAGGCTTCCTCTCTGATTCTTAAACAGCTCAGGCCATGCCGCTCCCATGTCACACTCTAGTGGCCTGTGGGCTTCCTTGCCAGCTGAGCCCTAGCGCTACCCCCTGCCTTTGAGATTCCGCAGAAATCTAGCTGCAGGGTGACTTCCACAGGTTGCACAACCCAGCCACTAGTAACAGCTAGGTTATTAAACACACCATCCTCTTAGAGGTGAAAGGCTTGGCCTTAGGTTCAATTCTTTCAGCTTTAAAATGGAGCAAGTGATGTGTCTCACTCGAAAATGTTGTAGAGCCCAATAGTTATGTAGCGCGTGGAGATTGGGAGGTACTGTGCAGCAGAGGAGATGGACAGTGCAGGCTCAAGAAAATCTTGTGACCTTGAGCGAGTCACTTTTCCTCCTTGTTCCTCAGTGTGCTCATCTACAAAATAAGAGTAAACACAGTAGCATTTCCCCCTTCCTAGGGGTGCCTTGTTTTCAGCTTGGCTGAATGTTGGCTGATCCTCTATCACGGAAGTTATTCCCTGGCTTCTCTTTGGAACATTCCTCTGAAGTTGCCAGGCTGATACCTTTATAGCAAGCAACCTTACAGATGCAGAAGCTAAGACTCAGACTAAAAGCAGCTTGCCCTGCTAGGAAATGCAGAGCTATGTCTTTAACATATGGGAAATGCTTTTACCCAGGACCTGGGGCAGTGTGGTGCTCTATCCTGGGACCTCCTGCCTCCCAGCAGCATGGTGAGGAAGGAAAACAAATCCTTCAGATCTGTTTCCATCTTTAAACCTCTGGCATCACCTGTCTTGCCCTGCCCTTACTCTCAGCTGTCAGCTTTACTTTCCATTCCACTGGGAAAATCCATGCAGTCAGATGGGAACTTCACAGGCACAGTTACCCACTCCCCCTGCATATATGCCCATGTTACCTACATTGTGTTACTGTGAACTGTCTGCTTCTGGTAAAATCAACCTCTCATTAGACCCCAGTCCTTCTCACTTACTC